CCAATGGAACACCCTTAGACAAGGGAATCGGCAAGTGGCTGAGTACATTTCTCAATTTGTGAAATTTCAATTGATATGTCATGTCGTTGAGGATGAGGCCCTGACTTTGAATAGGTTTATACAAGGTCTAAGAGATGAATTTAGGCGTGAGCTTCCCTTTCGAGGTGTCAATACTTTTGATCACGCTTACTCTTTAGCTCGAGATTACGAGTTAGTTATTAGTGCTCCATATGAAAAGCGTAGTCACCATCGTTCACTCATCTCATTAGCGCCACCTCGACATAAGTCTATCATAGAACCTTCTCTGTCTAGCGTTCCTCTCATTTGGAAAAATAAATGTAAAGGTCGTGATAGTCCAAGGCCCCCTTCTCCATATAGAAAGTGTATTGACAATCATTTTTCTATCTCATTGGCTCCACTTCCTCTTGTTAAATCCCTTCTAGGACCTCCCCCGTCTAATGTTCCTCAAATCTTGGAAAATAAGGGTAAATTTTTTGAAATTCCAAGGATTTCTTCTCACTAGCTATGCATCGGTTGTAAGAACTTTGGCCACATCTCTTTCAAATGTCTTAATCGAGCCTTAGTCATAGAAGAACGAATGAATGTAATAGAAGAGTCATTAGAAGATCTAGTATATGAATCTAAACTTAAAAATTTTGATGATGATAGTGAGGACACCTCCTTAGGTGGCATCCAGACTCTTCCTGAGGCTCGAGGTACTATATCCTATGATTTCACTAGTCACTTGTGGAGAACCCAGTCGCCTATAGTTAGCACTAAATCAAAATTTTCCACTGCAGACCAACCTCAGACTGATGGTCAAAATAAAGTCGTTAACCAAAGTCCTAACAATTTATTTAAGTCTCTAGTCCAGAAAAATCTTGGGAATTGAGATTTGATCTCCCCAACTGTTTAAATTGCATTTAAACAATTTTGTGAATCAATCTCTAGGTCTAAATCCATTTGAAATTGTTCATAGTTATAAGTCTAAGCGGCCGTTAGATCTTATTCCCATGTCTTCGCATGCTAGTGTGTCGTTGTCAGCTGAAACATTTGTATATTATCTTCATGACTTGCATACTGAGATCAATAAACAACTTGACGCAAGTAATGCATCAAGTAAATTTCGAGCTGATTTGCATAAGCGAAATTTTGAATTTCATATTGGGGATTTTGTTATATTGCAAGCCTATAGTGTTGGCCCTTGTGAAATTTTAAAATATGTTGGTTCAAATATATGTGTCATTGATCTTTTATCACATTTTGGCCACCATTCTATTTTAACTGTTAAGGACTTCGTTGCTTACAAAGGCTATTTTAACCCCTCTGATGATCATTTTCTACCTCCACATGGGAATTCCTACACTGAATCTTTTGATATGTCTACTTCAATACCATCTGTCACAATATATAAAGATAAAATTAATGTTATTTTAGATGAATGTAGTGTGTTGACCAATTATGGCAAGATTTAGTACTTCCTTATTTGTTGGGTAGATCGATGTGATTTTTATGTTCCTCATTAGCACAGTCATGTGAAAGTCTTGAAGATGAGGTGCATGCGTATTGGTTATTTGGAGTCTAGTATCAGTACTTGGTTAGAAGGAAAGACAGCCTCCTTGGCCAGATCATATTCTTGGGAATAAGCTACAATTTTCAGTACTATCAATCATAGAATTTTGGTACTTGGTTCGTCAGAAAGATCATCCCCCATGGCTTGACTTGAAGCATTTGGAGTATCACATTGACTGCAGCCTATAGTGATCTATCAACTTGACAGGGTCAAGTTTTTCTCCCACCCCGAAAGAGTTGATGAGGACATTATTTTTGTTTATTTCTAGTTGGACTTTATTTATGTTTTGGATTCTATTTATGTAATTGGACTTGTATTGGCCCAAGCCCGCTCTAGGTAGGGTTTCGTCTTTACTATTTAAACCTAATTTCTCATGTAATTTTATTAGTTTTGAATGAACATAAATTATTGATATTGGTTGTGACATCTCCTTTCTCTCATTTATCCCTGAATTTCTGCTTCTCCGATTTCTTCCCCCCTTCTCTCTAGTTCTCCCTTCCTTTCTTGCTATTCTCTTCTCTATCCTGCATCAAATTAAATAAGAGTAATTTCTTTTGGCCCAAACAGCTCTTAATCACTTCTCTTCATTTTTTTCTCAAATCCCTCTCTCCACATCATTCTCTCTCTCCACTCCACAAACAGTTCTTTATGTTATTCCCTGCTACAATGATATTTATTCCTTCTCTTCTCACAATTCTCTAAATTTCTTCAATCTATACTATTGAAGGCTAAAGACAGATGTAGAACAACTAGCCAAATGGAAAATACTACCAGCAAACTACTCAAAATTACGATACCAACATAGATTACACTTTGACGACAAATTTCAGCAAGAAAAGAGCCATCAACCACCATTCCAAGTACTACAAAATAAACTATAAAACGACAATGTTTATTGTATAATCAATACAAAATGACTAGGTACAAAAAATTGTATCCAATATCGCATAATTGTTGGATTTATCCTAATTGGAAGTTTTGTTGGTTGAGTGTTGCCATCAAAATACATTGGAGAAGGCTGAATATTAGTCGATGACGACGTATATAATAGCTCATAAACAACATCATTTTCATTATGATACTCAAAGTTAGCTCTTCCCTCGAATGCTCCTATTAACTCATTGGCCTGCTCATAAGCTACCATTGCTTTAACCATGTATTCTTCTTCCGCTGCAGTCCATTGCCCCTGTAATAAACAAGTACAAGATGTAAAGTAAATTTACAATGTCATATGATAAATAAAATGATTCAGAATTCAAGGCATACCAATTCTTCAGAATTTCACTTGCAGCCCCTACCCTATGAAATCTTCTATTATGTCCAGTTTGTCCACACACACCACACTTCATTTTCACACACACATTTCTTACCATCTTACCAGTGTTTATAAGCTACTTCATATGAACCTAAAAACAAAGATTAAAAATGATATTAAACAAGATTTCCTAAAATTATAAAGATTTCACCATACCTGAAAGGAGACATAATCAGAACAATAAACACACTACAAGAAAAATGGCCTTTTAAAACATTTAAATGGCAACACTCACCAATTGTATGTTGCTAAAAGAGGTTTATTGCAACATTCAGCAAATACATGTTGCCATTGGTTGAGAAAATTAAGATTTAGCAACGTGCAAAGACTGTTGTTGTTTTTTTTGGCAACGTGCATTGACCGTTGCTATAGATGTTTTAGCAATGTTTAAAGAACATTGCCGTTAATTACTTTTGGCAATGTGCATTACCCGTTGCAAAAACCTGTTAACGACAACGTTCATTGAACGTTGCCGTTAATCAGTTTTAGCAACATTCATTGAACATTGCCGTTAACAAGTTTTTGCAATGGGCAATGCATGTTGCTATATATGTTTTAGCAACCCTCATTGAACGTTGTTGTTGGTTTGTTTTAGCAACGTTCATTGAACGTTGCCGTTAAGTATCTTTGGCAACGTTGCCATTAATTTCTTCGTAGTAAATTGACTAAATTCAGCGTTAAATATAAAATCATACAAAACCAAAACATCCCGACCCTGTTAGTTTGGTATAAACTCAAACGAGCCCTAATTTCTTCCCCTCTCACTCTCTCGCCACCGTTCTCTCTCTCCCCACCACTGCTCACTCTCCCCGCCAGTGTTCTCACTCACTCCCAATTTCTTCCCATATGCCCAGCAGCAACTAGATAGAGTCTGGGAACTTCCAGGGTAGAATTTTAATGTGAGTTTTGCACATTATGCAGGCCATGTTACAGTTAATAGGGAATCCGGGAAAGCACTATTTTATTGGTTCTTTGAGGCCGACGAGGACCCTTCTTCCAAGCCTATTGTTCTTTGGCTCAATGGAGGTCAATTTAGTCTGATCCTTCCTCTTTTAAATCAATTTTGTTCAAAACTTTAATTTTTTATTTTGTTAATGTTAATTCATTACTATTAGCCTCTAGGAATGTGCAATTCATTTTTTCCCCTTCCTTTGACTTTGTTTTAGAGTACTTAAAATTTGTTATGATATTGGGAGATACGTACATAGAATCATGTGATTTTGCTCATGAAATTGTGATATTATTTCTAAGCTAAAAGAGCATCCTGATGATCCTTCTGGGCCAATATTATTAGTTGAAATTTCTAAAACGTTTTATCATTAGCTATGAAATTATTTCAAGAAATATAGTGCTATTTATTTCTTCCCTGTTCTCAATTATAAACTTCAACAACTTATATAAACTCCATCTTGTATTTGTACTCCTTTTCACTTTTTAGTTAGTTATCAAATTTGATACTGCGGAGTTCTCTCCATTTATGTTATTTCCATTGTAATTTATTTTGGCGAGATGTAATTTGTAGCCAACGTGGAAACTTGTTTCTGACTCTTTAGCTATGTTCAAGGCCTGGATGTTCATCTATTGCATATGGATTAACTGAGGAAATTGGACCTTTCCATGTTGAGAAAGATAACTTAATTGATAAAGGCAAGTTGTATCCAAGACTGACTTTCGAAAGGTAGCGACATTAATCACGACATTTTTAAATGTTGGATATTTCAAGTAAGAATGGTGAAAAATATTCAACTTAAAAATATATTTTTATTTAGGCATTTTTATTTAGACTTCATTTGCTTGTTGTCAAATCTGTTTTCACTTTGTCCTTTTTAGACCATTCTCTAATTCACAAAGTGAGTGAGGAGGATAACAAACTTGGCATTGGGAAGCAATTCCCGGGATTGAATCCGAAAGCACTGAACAATCTGGACCTGTATTCAGGGAGTTGGGATTTTGCTCATAAATTAAGGACCTCGAAAAAATATCCATGGCTTATGTTGTATCTAAGAGCCGATGCAACCAAGGGATTAAAAGTTGAAGACCAACTTGCTCCCTTTCACCCTGCATTAAAATTTACTAAAAATACGATTTTAATCCTCACTTGTATCTCCTGCATTAAAGAGAAAGCAAATTTGAGTTTCTAGAGAATTGTTTGTTGTTCATTTGTAGGTTACAAGATGAAATAAAGAACAATGTGGGTCCTTGACATGTGATATTTTAAGTGTAGCTCTAAAACTTAAATTTGTCCACTGTGTTGATAGTAACTATTAGGTAACTTGGGATGCTCACATAATTTCGATTAATTATTTTATTGATACTGTTTTTTGTTCTCTGGTTTTAATTTTCCCTTGTCTCTATACTATGCTAATTTTCCCAAGCTTTTGCTTGTCTTGCTAAAGTCAAAAGGGACTGTAATTTGCATAACAAATAGCATCAGTAAGTCTTCCTGAATAAATTGGACTAATTTTTTGTATTGCCGAAGGAAAATTGGTTTATTTCAAAGCTATTAAAGATTTGATTTTTTTTGTTTGAGCCTTTGATCTTGAGTTCTTGTTTATCATTTTTATTATCTTTGACTGAAACATGAAGAAAAGAGATATTGGCTCTTTATTCCCTTAATTGTTATCATGACTTGTGTGGTAAAGGTGGATTGAATAGTAGTGGAGAATAATCTAGTTGTGGACCAAACATGCCCGGAAAGTTAGTTTCTTTTTTTGTGGTGGCTGTTTGATGCATATAGTGAATGCTTGGGAACCAAACATTTTCTATAGTGGATGAAGCAATATGAAAAAAGCTTTACTGCAATGGACGTTTCTATAAATGTTTAAGAAGAACATTAGGATTTGTGAGGATTGTTAGAGCCTTACCACTATAACCTTTCCCATATAATCCTTGAACCTTTCTCTGAAACTCTTCATATAGTCTGAATAGGCCTGAATTGGTGTTTCTCCTCTGAGAACAAGCAACGAGTCGTAGCCCAATTATATATATTCTGTGTTGCGGCGACCTAATCTATCTGTGTAGACAAGGTAGGGATTTTTGCTGATCTCTTCAAGCACCCATGGGGGCAGAGGAATGCTACAAATGGAAAAACCAATATTGATGATCATCACTATCACTACTGGATTACTATTATCAGAAAGGTACCGAAGTTTTAATTGTTCTTTCCCAACCATTTTTACTATTTTAAGAATATATAACAATATGGAGAATTGCAGCATTGGTCCTCAACTAATGGCCCAAGTATCAAGTTGGATCCCAACATTTGAAAGGGAGCAAGTTGGTCTTCAACCTTTAATCCATTTCGAGGTCGATCTTACATGTGAGTTTTCTGAATCATCGAAACTAAATTCCCATACTCGATCTGAGTTTTGTGAGGACAAACTTCTCTGTGGCGATCATGAAGGTTGAATTTACCCATTGCATTCAAAAGATAGGAGCAAGTCAAGAAGAAAGTAACGAGAAGGACTTTTTAGAGCTAGCCAACCCAACGGTTTGAAGACAACAAGTTGTAAATTATCTTCTTTTATACAATATTTTTATGTTGTTTAAGAGTGTAAGATGATGTTTATTTGATGGACAATATGTAAATCAAAATTTTTCTTCGATTTATTACAATGATGTGTTTTGACTATTTGGTATGGATTAATAAAATTATATCAATTGAAGGCCCAAATTTTTTTTTTCATTTTGTGGTTGATTTGGTAAATTGTTATACAAATAGGAAAAAAATAAAATTGTAAACGACCTATGGTAACATTCATTGAACGTTGCCAAAAGTCAGATTTGCAACGTTCATTGAACGTTGTCAAAAGCCTCATTTGCAACGTACATTAAACGTTGCCGAAAGGGTGTTTTGGCAACGTTCATTGCACGTTGCCAAAACCCAGTTTTCGCAATGTGCATTGAACGTTGCCGAAAGATGTTTCGGCAACGTTCAATGCACGTTGCCAAAACCAAGTTTCTGTAGCGTGCAATGAACGTTGCTAAAACTCTTCACTCTACGGCAACGTTGAAACCCTCAACAGACGCCTGAACATTGTGATAGGTCTACGGCAAAGTTTTTTGCCCGTTGCAAAAAGTTATTTTTGGTGTAGTGACAATAAACATAAAGACTCGATAAAATCACCAATCATATAGTGGTCCCCCATTGTCGGTCATTCTTTGACCTAAGAAGAAAGAGGATAAGAAAACTCTTGTTGGTGGATTCCTCTCCTCCTTTACTTTGCGAATCGATGTTGGAGAGAAGGATTTTGTGATAGGGTTTAAAGTAGAGAGAAAATAACATGGAGAGAGAGATTTGGGAAAAACGGGGAGAAGTGATTAAGAGCTGTTTGGGGCAAAAGAAATTACCCTTATTTACATATTTGGATATATTAAATTGACACGTCAACCAACCGTTAGTCAACGTAAGATTTTTCATTAAATTAATGACAGTTCATTGACTGAGTGGCTTGACTAAAATATTAAATGAAGTTCAACGGCCATGGTGAAACAAAATCAAGTTTAGTGGCTATGATGATACTAAATATAAATTACAGTGGCCATTTGTGAATTTAACCATCTAAGTGACGTGTGCTGTCAAGAGATTAAATCAATCAATCACAAAAGATCTCGTATGAAAGATATCTTGGAAGCAGGGCGGACCCACATGGATCAAGTGATCTACAAAATTTTTTGATTTTCTGAAATACTTGATCAAATCCTAACTTTCTAGATTTAATACATTTTACTTAATACTTTTGATTGTTGTTTGTTATATTTGCTTTACAATTGAAAGGGGTTCATAAATGATATTTGTTAACGTGTGCTATTTTATTGAAGAATCTAGATTTTATAGGGGTTATTCTTGGGTTTTAAATTCTTTATAGTGTATGTGCACATTTGTTTGATCTATGCTTTGTCGAAAGGGTGTTTAGAAGGGTTGAATGTATTAATTTAATCAATGTGCTAGCTCTTGGGTTTAAATGATGATTCAATCAGTATAACTTATATACAGATACCATTACTTACAGACTGCTGGAGTTGAAATTACGAATTAATAATTTAATATTTTCGACCAATCTTCATAAAAATGCATCAGTTAAAACTTCATAACTTTTTAGTGATAGTAAATTATTGAAGAGAAGGACAACTAAGAGCAAAATTATGTGCTAAACCCCTTGCTTCTTCTTCTTCTTCTTCTTCTTCTTCTTCTTCGTTTCTTCTTTGGTCCCATGCTTCTATTAGGGTTTAACAAATCCTCTTCCACATATAACTGAGTTTAGTATGAATATATGTATAATAAATACGGCAATCTAAACTTCCACTATATTTCGACATTTAGTAGTAGAAAATGTGAAGAATAACATCGTTTGTTAGGCTGGTTCAATCTTTGGTAACAGAGAGGATTTTTCACTTCCACATCGAATAATAGCAATAATAAGATCATAGCTGCAATGGTGTTTGAGAAACTTCAGTTGTCATTCCAAGAATCAACCTTGTCATTTATGATTTTCAAGAGTTGTGGTAAGCATTTTTTTCTTTGTTCATACATTTCTCGCTATTTTTCTTTCCATTTCGGATTACACAATGCAAATTGTAGAAATGGTGAAAGTAAACCGACTTTTGTTTGTGATCTTATTCCATTTTGCTTTTTCTTCATTTTTCTATGGCAAAAAAGTAGGAAATGGATTTTACAGCATTAATGTAATTTTATCCCATTCTGTAGAAATTTGATCATCCACTAATATTAACTTGTTTTAAAAAAAATTGTATTATAATTTTTGACCCATAGTATTAGGCTGTTTTAAAATATAGAGGTGAAGCAAGAAGATGTCTTCTTTAGGCATAGAAGCTAGTCGCTTCAAAATTGTAATACAGCAGGTCATCGGTACCTCACCTTGACCATGGAATATCAGCATTAATATAGCGCTTGCATCCCTTCAGCTACCATTGTTCGATACCCTGACTAGGCCAGATAGGATAGTGACGTGAAATGCAGACCTAAATAGATTTGTTAGTTGATTGTCACACAGTTAATGTTTGGAGCTGCATTGGATGAGACGTTACAATTTACTTATAAACATATTTTACACTTCAAAACTATTATAAGTTAATTGTGGACATTTGACTACTGTCATTAATATATATTGCCAATTATGTGATGAGTAAGGATCTGTTGTCCAAAACTGACCGTTGAACTTGCTGTCCATTAATGATTTATTGAAACGTCACTTTATACATATTTTTAAGTACAAGTAGGGGTGAGGGAAAAATTGAGCATGTTAATGAATCATTAGGTGGATAACAAATTGAACAGTCAATTTTGGATAACAGATAACAACTCATTTTGATATGTTAAACATGTAAATTTTCCAATTTGTCCCATAATTACTTCAGTTTTTCTTTATGTGATTTTAATCCTCCACCACGTTTAAAAATTGATCATTAAAAAAAAAAAGTTGGTGTTAATCAATTTTAGTAGTTAATAAGAATTATTCTAGAGGTACATAACCCCTTACATGCCGGGTGTCCAAATCCTCATATCCCCCTATATATACCCCTAGAATAACCCAGTTAATAATTGTAATCTTTGAGAACCATCCTCTATTTATCATTCTATGACCTGTACAATCCATAAAATACAATTACAGAAAATTACGCAATAATGTATATGAATTTACGTGCACAGTAGAAAAAATTGTTAACAACGTGCGTGCATTTGAAAAAAAAAACTGTTAATATGCGGTGGGACACTACAAATCACAAAAATCCCTACTTTATCAAAATGCATTGAAATTTTGTATAGCTAGATAGCTTTATTTCACTTCACAGGTGAAAATGAAAAAGGCCTATGAAATAAAATGCCACCCCGTCCAAGCAACCAAATCCCTATCTAAGAATGAATTAATGATGCCCCTAGGGCACATCCCAACTGATAAAGATGAGAGCGCTTCAAAGCTAGCAGATCATAGGTCGTGAGTTCAATTTCTGGAAGGCAGATATTCTCCTGAAAGGCATGATTTATCTTGGAAGGCAGGAGCTCTACTGGTAGGCAAGGTGCAAAGATGGGAAAAACGACTTGCTTGCCATTTTGACAGATCAGTTGGGGGGAGGCTCTTGAGCACTGATCAATTTGGAACATAACCTGCAGTTTAACCTGTCTGCAACTTGAGGGGCCAAGGTGTAGACTCCAGGATTTAGTCATTGTAAGGTGGATATCTGGATAAAAAGAAAAAAAAAGAATGAATTAATGATTTTTATTTATGGTATTCTATAAATGACACACGCATACACGGGCTAATATGTAACAATTACGTGCCTTACCGAGTTCTATCCCGCTGAAATATGATTTAGATAGTTTAATTGTTATTATTGACAAAACTTTACATTTTTTGCAACAAACTTTGGAGCATAGTTATCGGACCCGAACCGATCATTGACCTAGAAAAACCATCGGGTTATTGGGTCAATGGTTCCACTGAGGAGTACTGGTTGAACCGGTGGATTGATGTTAGTTCTTAATTTTAATTAGAAATATTTTTTAAAATAAAAATACAATATAAATGTTATTTTATGTCATTCTAGTAAAGTTAAATATATAACAAACACGAGCCTTACCAAGTTTTATCCCCCTGAAATATGATTTAGATGATTTAAATGATATTATTGGTAAACATTTACATTTTTTGCAACTAGCTTTGGAGTATGATGGTGAACCATCTAGATTGGAAATTTTTTAAGTACTCTCAAAACGTGGCTCGGCTAATAATTTGATTTGTATGTTAAATAGGTGTAATCCATTTTTTAATTGTGATCAAGACATGTATAACAATACATGACATAAGAGTACTAGATTTCATATTCAAGGAGTTTATTGTATGTTGTTAGTGGATTTGGATCTAGATTCATTTTTCTAAAGCTCTTCACAATGACGTAAGAGGTGTTGGATTGTGCGTCTATATAGTATAATTTTATTGTAATAGAATGATGATTTTATAACAAATACATTTTGCCTTTTTACTGTTATTGCATTTATATATTTACTGAGTATGCAAATAAAAGTTCAAATATTCCCTTGTGAGAATATAAGTTGTGCCGAGAGTCACAATGGATTTATGATTACTGCTTTGTAGTTCGTTGTATCTTCCCAAAAAAGGATTTAAAAAAAAAAAAAAAAAAAAAAAAAAGGAAAAATCTTGGTACTTGAGTACATAACAGAGTTCAAGCTTGTGATTGATTTAAAAGCCCTGTAAACCACTTTTGCTGATTAAACTTCCCGCGGCAACGAGAATGTGATCCATTCCACTTTGATCCGCATTGGTAGCAAAATTCGTATTTGCACCTGCATGTAATTTGTATACAACCATCAATCTTTTTGGGAAGATGTTACAACTACCAAATGGTTTACCTAATAGTGGCCCCTCCAGTAGGGAGCTGTCACTTGTCAATTCTATAAACCATTATGTAAACTATTTGGTACAAATAGATTAATTCATCTTTTTGACATACATCTTGCATATGGGACATTTTTTCCAAGACTTAATCTTTCTGTCCTCGTTTGCCGTACGAACTCTCGAATTCCTGAGGAATACCTCTGAATAGCCTAAATATAAGAGTAGTTTGTAAGATTAGACCAAAAAATATAATTAT